TGACACAGACATGGGGGACCTCATGCGCACAGATACTATCACACAGTGGGGTGAACACATCTTGGCCAGACGGGTGTGGAACACAGGGGGGGGGGGCCCCCCTGTGAAACCTGGAGCGCGGCCAGATGGCTGGACGGGGGTCCCCCCCCTTTACGTACACATGAGTGGTTCTGGGGCGTCCCTTGGGTTTCGGAACGACAGGCCATACAATTACATGCGGCCAACACGTTACTGCAGAACCTTGTGTTCCTCTTGGGCTGTCACATGGTGGCGGGGACCTCTGGGTGGATCGAACATCCCCTCCCGGCCCACTGGAGGCCAGAGGCCCCCAGCAGCTTCCACTGGGAGCCCCTCGAGGCCCTAGCCTCAGCCCCCATCACGATCACGGCCGACTTTGATCAATGCACGTTGCAGCCGACAGATCGAGACCCAGCGGAGTTTGGCAGAGCTCCCACGCGTCTCCTCGGACTGAGGATGCCATGTTTGCGACGACGCCTGTGCGACGGCCCAGGCAATGGCTGGTGTCACCACGGGAGAGGAGTGCACAAAATACTGCAGGGGAAGGAACATGTTGGAGGACGCACGGTCTTTAAGACGCATGCTAAGAAAACATATCCTGAGGAGATGTGTGCACGTTTAGCAGCAGCCATTGCAGCCTCCATGCAAAATATTTATGCAGATGCTGACAACGATGATCAGCAATTTGACGAGAGCGCGCTGTGCGCCGACCTACGCAAGTTTTACCTGTCAGAGATAGGTGCGGACTTTGACGCAGCACCAGATTTTGCAGGGATAACGACCAAGACACAGAGAGCAGATCCAGAGATGCACAGGTTCCAGGACGACCCCAATGAGACTCCCATGGGCCCCATGTGTGCTCCGACCCCAGCTCCCACCCCAGCTCCGACGCCAGCTAATGACAGCCCCAGCAGGAATATTCTCTTGCACGAGCCTGGATCGGATGAGGAGTTAGAGTGTTGGTTGAGGCCTTTTCCCTCTTCCCCCTCCTCTCCCCCGCCGCCGCCCCTCCCGCCTCGCCTCAGGGCGGAAGTACAGGCGTGGGTTTTGTCTTCCCAACGGGGGGCGCGGTGCGAGTGGGGACTGCCCGGCGTTGCGCCGTTAGTGACCCTCGCACCGTTGCTCCCCGGCATGTCTGATTTTGTTCCTGCGCCCAGGCTTGACCTGGTCTCCGCACGCCTCGTCAGTCAGTCAGTCCAGCCTCGCCTCACCCCCGAGCAGATTGCACGCATCGCGGCCAACCGCTCCGAGGCGCTGCTCAGGCGCCAGGCCAGGAGGGCCGCGGCCCACAGGCGAAGAGCGCCCTGGTCAGGCAGCCTTTCTTTCGCCTCCTTCTTTGAGGCGGGACCCACCATTGCCGCCCCCGCCGCCTCTCTTGGCTTTCCTCTTACAGAACAGGAGGCCTAGGCGCGGCAAGACGACGAGAGCTCGCGAACCCTTCGCCATGCCTGCGTCCCACCACCACCACCACCTCCTCCCTCCTCCCTCCTCCCTCCTCCCTTCGCCCTCCTCCCTCCTCCCTCCTCCCTCCTCCTGCTCCTCCTGCTCCTCCTGCTCCTCCTCCTCCTCCTCCTCCTCCTCCTCCTCCTGCTCCTCCTCCTCCTCCTCCCCTTCTCCTGCCCGTCCTCCTCCTCCTCCTCCTCCTCTTCCTCCTCCTTCTCCTCCCCCCCCTTCTCCTCCTCCTCCTCTGGCGGCGATCACCGGTGCATTGCCGATCCAGGGTCTTGTCTTCTCAATCTGGATGTTGCGGATCCTTGTTGACTCGATGCGCCCGTGTTGAAGCGCAGCATGTACCGTGCTCAGAACCTCCGTGTCAAGACGTTGAGTGTTGGCTCGGAGTATTGGCCCACGCTTTGGCGAACGTGTCGCGTCAGACCTACGCAGTCAATCTACGCGTGGAGCTTCTTATCAATACGCTACGTGTTCCGTGTTGCGTATCGGGGCAGCTAAGATCTTGACGTTGCGGGTGCATCGCCAGTGCAACGGCGATGCGGCGAGATCTCCGACCCCAACGGATCTGGCCCCACAGGCGGCCTCGACAAACAGCTTCCAGGGACATCCAAGGTACATTTTCTAGCACTTGCCAGGGGCCTCCCGCGCGGGTTCTCAAGGGGAGGGCGCGCCCCCGTTGGCTTCGAGTTGCCATCCAGGGTGCGATGTTCGGGCTTTGGAGCTGATGGCGGGCCATCAGTGATCTCAAGTGTGGACCTTCGCTCGGGTTTTCGTCGACGTTGTCGTCAACAGCCTCGCGCTTGGTTCCAGGCGTTTGGTCCCACCGTGACCTACGCGAACGCCTCCTCCCTATTCTTCACCGCGCCCAGCGTTCTGACTTGAAGGGTAATCTCCCGCATCCTCCGAGTTCCCTGTCGTACTTGTCCTGGCGCTTGCTTTCTAATCCGCTTGGCTTTCAGCGGCTATTGGCCGCCACGGCTGGACAGGATCTGATTCTTGTCAGGATCGGGCGTTTGAGAAATCTAAAGGCCCGTGCCGAGCGGACGCTGCGTCGGCCGTCTCGTTCGAGCTCCTCTGCACACTCTGCACCTCGTGGCACCTGCGATCAGCGGTTTGCGGCTGCTGATCGCAGTCGCGTTGATCGTAGGCTGTGCCGGCCGCTCGATCCCAAACAGTCGGCCCGGACTAGTAGGGCGCCCCTGCCAGCTCAAGGGTACCCTTGTGTCCTGTGCCTCGCGACGCGTGCCTTCTTACACTCCTGTGGCGATGTGGACCTCGGAAGGGTCTTGTTCAGGAGGGGAAAAAACACACAGACACAATTAGTCGTCGATTAACAGGAAAATATTGAAAAATATGGGAAGTGGGGGGGAAGACGAAAACCCAGAAAATATGTCGAAATATGGGGAATCCTTTTACTTGTGTGTATTTACTTGTGTGTCCCAGGGCCCCTTCACTTGTGTCCTCTCGAGTGTCCTGTCCAATCAAAAGGCCGGCTGTAGCTGGTTTGTTGTCATCGCAGCGCAGCCGAGATCGTCGCTGCGGAGGGCCGGCGTGGCGAGGGCGTGCGATCGACGACTCCCACGGGGGCATGATCTGCCGAGCGCGAGTACGGGGCGTTGATCGAAGCATTCTGCCAGATTTGTAGGGGGCCACATGTGAACCCTACCCCTACCCCCCACGATTTCTGAGGGGAGGGTGGGGTTCACTTCGCTCGGGAGCTCCCGAACGAAATGAGCCCCACCCCCCCTCTCAGAAGTCGTGGGGGGTAGGGGTAGGGTTCACATGTGGCCCCCTAATTTGGTCGCATTGTCACATCCATTCGCCCTTGCGGGTGGCGGAGCTCACAGCGGTCAGTGAGCTCGTGCAACATGCCGTGCGTCCAATCAGTCGGAGATCGGTTTGCGGCATCGCACGTGCCCGTGTTCGCCCTTCCGTGCCGCACTTCGGCTTGCATTGTCGTGGGGCCTCCTGGCTCTCGCCTTCGCGCCGCGCGCTCTCGTCTTAAAAAGTTGTAAGGAGCTTCGCGAATTGAGGGCGGGCCGCTTTCAAAATGTGGTTCTCGTCTTAGCGCCGCGCACTTTCGCTTAAACGAACTTCAAAAAAATTCACGGATGGAGGGCGGGCCGCTTTCAAAATGTGGCTCTCGCCTCAGCTCCGCGCACTCTGCTTGCACGGTCATGGAGAGGAGGAGGAGGAGGAGGAGGAGGAGGAGGAGGAGGAGGAGGAGGAGGCCAGCAGGAGGAGGAGGAGGAGCAGCAGCAGCAGGAGGAGGAGGAGGAGGAGGAGGGGGAGGAGGAGCAGGAGGGCGAGGGCGAGGAGGAGGAGGAGGACGAGTACGAGGACGAGGAGGAGGACGAGGAATAGGAGGAGGATGAGGAGTAAGAGGAGGAGAGGAGGAGAGGAGGAGGAGGATGATGAGGAGGAGGAATACCAGCGTAAACCCAAGAGTCATCAACGATGTTGGAATAAACCTTCCTTCCAAGCTCCCTCTTCATAGGCCCCTACAACGGTTCATTTCAATTGAGGGAACTGCCTCTTTCGAAGACAACCGTTTGAAGACCCTGAAGCATACCAAAACAATGTTCTCGGGATTCCAACGCCACAGATCAACCTGTCTGTTGCGTTTTGACAATCCTGAATCGTGCCAGAACGCCATTCCTGGGATCTCAACACAACGAATCAACAGAACTGTTGCGCCCGCATAATCTTGAATCCTTTCGAAATGCTATGTCTGACACGTTGATCATGGGAATCCGTGAAACCCTTGCGAAGTCGTGAACGAATGTACGCGGCGCTTAGGCGAGAGCCACATTTTGAAAAGGACCCCCCCAATCCGTGAAAATCTTGCAAATATTTAAGACGAGTGTGCGCCGCGCGAAGGCGAGAGCCACATGTTGAAAATCAACCGCCATTAATTTGCAAAGTTCTTAGAATTTGTTAAAACGAATGTGCGGCGGGTTGAGGCGAGAACCATATTTTGAAAGCGGCCCGCCCTCAACATGTGAAACTCTTGCGAGCGTTTAAAACGAATGCGCGCCGCGCTAAGACGAGAGCCACATCTTGAAAATCACCCGCCCTCAATCCGTGAAACTTTTGCAAAGCTTGAAAAAAGAATGTACGCCGCGCTAAAGCGATAACCACATTTCGAAAACGATCCGCACTGAATCCGCGAAGCTCTTGATACTTTGAAAACGAATGTGCGCCGCGCGCGCTAAGGCGAGAGCCACATTTTGAAAACGGCCCGCCCTCCATCTGTGAAGCTGCTTGTAATTTTTTTTGCATCAGGATCATACATTGTCAGGAAGTCTCAGGCGAAACGCCCAGCCCGTCCTAAAAACTGGCCTCGAGGTGCGACAGGGGGAAGTTCTTATAAGGAAAAGGAATGAAGGAGGAAGAGGAGGAGGAGGAAGAGGAGGAGGAGAGGAGGAGGAGGAGGAGGAGGAGAGGAGGAGGAGGAGGAGAGAGGAGGAGGAGAGGAGGAGGAGGAGGAGGAGGAGGAGGAGGAGGAGGAGGAGGAAGAGGAAAGAGAGGTCGCTGCGCACGCCGTGCTTCGCGGTGGCGGGAGGCCTGGAGGCGGCCCCCTCGGCCGGCGCCCATCGGGTGGCGAAGGGCAAAGCCTTCGCATCTCAGCCAGAAGCGATCGGCTCTTCGGCGGGCCCCCCGCTCCACTGATCGCGGCTCGTTCTGGGATCCTGGCGCCTCAATTTTTCCCAGCCGGGCGTTCTCGCTCCATTTCGGGCCCCGGGGCTCTCGCAGATGGATCCGGCTGGAACAATGACGCAGAAAGACGGGATCTAGGGCTTCTGGACCCACGGAGGGCCCCGCGCTCCTGGTAGGGTCGGGCCGGCTGGACTGGGTGAGGTCGAGGTCGGGCCGTGAATCAGCCTGCAGCGGGCGGATGAGTTAGGGGGGGGGGCAAGCGGGGCAGGAGGCATGGGAGGAGGAGGAGGAGGAGGAGGAGGAGGAGGAGGAGGAGGAGGAGGAGGAGGAGGAGGAGGAGGAGGAGGAGGGGAGGAGGAGGAGGGAGGAGAGAGGGGAGGGGGGAGGAGGGGAGGAGGGAGAGGAGAGGGAGGAGGAGGGGAGGAAGAGGCCGGAGTAGGTGGAGGTAGAGGGAGGGAGGAGGGGAGGAAGAGGAAGGGCGAGGAGGAGGGGAGGAGGAGGGGTGGAGGAGGAGGAGGAGGAGAGGCGAGGAGGTGGAGGAAGAGAAGGGAGGAGGAGGTGGAGGACTGGGCGGAGGAGGTGGGAGCAGGAGGGAGGGCAGGAGGGCGAAAGGAGTGGAGGGAGTGTCTGCGGCGTGTGTGTGTGTGTGGTGTGTGTGTGTGTGTGTGTTTGGGCGCGCGGAGTGTGTGTGTAGGTTGAGTGTGTGTGTGTGTGTGTGTGTGTGTGTGTGTGTGCTGTGTGTGTGGTTTGTGTGTGTTTGTAAGTCTGTATGTGGTGTGTATCTGTGTGGTGTGTGTGTGTGTGCGTGGGTGTGTGTGTGTGTGAGTGTGTGTGTGTGTGTTTGTCTGTGTGTGTGTCTGTGTGTGTGCGTGTGTGCGTGGGAGGGGGGGGGGTTGGAGGCCTCCTTGAATTGCCCTCGAAGTGGCCCGCGCAGAGAGAGAGAGAGAGAGAGAGAGACAGCACGTGCACCCCCCCTTCGGGGGACGCGCAGCCTTCCCTCGGTCGAGCTGCGCGGAGTGCGCCCAGGGGGGGGCATACCACTGAACAAACGTCCAGTATCAGTATAAGCGCCGCTCTGGAGAAGGATACACCCTCCGCCCGCGTCCTGGTTGCACATGTCTTGATATTCAGGTCGTCGATGTCTTAAGATGTCTCGCGTGGGACCCCAGGCTGAGAAGGATACACCCTCCCTCCGCATAGTTCATTGTGTTTCGCTTATGGTAGCTGCCGGCTAAAAATCTGCTCGGGATATCTCAGGCGGGAGTCCCAGCTTGGAAATGAGCTGTTCTCCCTAAGTCAAGTGGTGCCTACGTTTGTGATGATGATAAGGGCGATGAGAAGATGAAGAGCCAGCACGTTGTTGGGCTCTGACGGGGAGCCGCAAACGCGTGGTGCAGCCGCAACGATTGCCCGATGGTCCGACACACCATGTTGTGTCTGCCTTGTGTCTGCGCCCCGCGCGGGCGTGACGACCACCTGGAGTACGGACGGGCCCGAGGACGGACGAAGCAAGGCAACTACAGAGATGATGATCCACCGAACGTCATCAACTTGAAAATGAGGGACTTGATGAAGCACGCCTACGTGAAGCACGCCTCCGTGAAGCACGCCTCCAGGAAATACGCCACAGTGAAGCACGCCACTATGAAGCACGCCAAGATGAAGCACGCCTGATGAAGCATGCCCGTGATGAAGCACTCTCCGATGAAGCACTCCCAGAAGAAGAACTCCACGATAAAGCCGTCCACGACTGTGAACCACTCCACGTTTTCGCACTCCACGATGAAGCACTCCACGAAGCACTCTTTGATGAATCACTCCTCGATGACGCAGTCCACGCCGAAGCACTCCTTGGTGAAGCACTCTCCGGGAAGCACTCCTCGGTGAAGCACTCCTTGGTGCACGCTGCGACGAGGACGCCCTCGATTGAAGCACTCCTTGGTGCACGCTGCGACGAGGACGCCCTCGATGAAGCCCTCCCCGATGAAGCCCGCCACGGTGAAGCACGCACGCACTCGGTGAAGCACGCCGCTGGGAGGCACTCTTCCGTGAAGCACGCCCCCGTGAAACACGCCACGATGAAGCACGTCACTTTGAAGCATGCTTCTCCGAGGAAGCACGCCACACTGAAGCCCTGGGCCCTGTAGGAAGCCCTCCTCGATGACATGCGCCTCCACTGTGAAGCACACCACCCCGATGACGAGCACTCTGAAGCCTTCCACGATGAAGCCTTCGATGGAGCCCTCCACAAGATACTCCAGATTTCGTAGTAAAGGGAGGGGGGTCTCATTTCGGGGTGGAGTCTTTTCCAAGCTATCTTGGAGGGCCTGGGGGGGTCTGGGGACGATGTTTTGGAGGGTTCTCCCACGGGGGGGGTCTGAAATGGCTTGTCTTGGAGGGTCCAGACCCCCTCCCTTTTATTAACAAAATCAAGAGTACCACTCCACGATGAACCACATCAGCCCCTGAGGCAGCAGCTTCCGTGACGCACGCCACGACGGCGTACGCCACGGTGCAGCACGCCCCGATAACGTGCCCAACAGCGAAGCACCCCCCACGAAGCACTCCCCACGGTGCCGCACGCCGCGATGAGGCACGCCGCGAGGGAGCATGCCACGGCGAAGCCCGCAACGAAGCACCTCCCGATGAAGCGCACCTTGATGAAATGCCCCACGATGGTGCGCACCCCCAGTGATTACAACAATACCGTCGGGGCGTTGACCGAAGGAACCCTAAATAAGGAACGAGGCCCCTTTTTCCCATGAGTTGAACTTCGATTTCCTATCGAAAACCTAAGGACAACCTGAGGCAAGCTGCGAAACACTTAAGGAACGCGGAGCCCCTCCCCAACCAAGAGGGTTCCTTCTTCAGGGCCCCGACTGTATGTCATTTGGCGCTTTCAGCCAAATTGAGAGCCCGAGAATGCGCACCAGAAGCCCATGAGGTCGATCACACGACGCTGTTGGCACAGTGGTGCAGATGGAAAGATCGAGCCCACTGACTGCCTGGCGTCGACGCCGCCAGCGCACGAGGGACACCTGGTGCCCAGCCAGCAGATGTGGTTCTCCGCCCAACAACTTGACGCGCGATGAGTACGCACCTGGTGGAATGAAACAACGATATTAATCAAAGATAGTAGCGGGAATCCCGCTGACGGTGGATCAATTTTATTATCGGCAGCGTATAGCACGAACACAGGAGATGACGAACCAGTACGCTGTTGGGCTCTGACGGAGAGCTGCAGGCGCGGGGTGCAGCCACAACGGCCGCCCGATGGTCCGACATTTGCACCCCCGCCGCGCGGTCGTGACGGCCACGGGCGATTTGGAGAGCGACTCCAGCCCGGAAGGGGTCCGAGGAAGGACGAGGCAAGGCGACTACAGAGATGATGTTGTTGATGAGGATGATAATGATGATGATGATGATGATGATGATGATGATGATGATGATGATGATGATGATGATGATGATGATGATGATGATGATGATGGTGATGGTGATGGTGATGGTGATGGTGATGGTGATGGTGATGACGGCGACGATGATGGTGATTATGACGATGATGACAATTTTGCTGATGATGATTTTGATTATGATGATTACGATTATGATGATGATGATGATGATGATGATGATGATGATGATGATGATGATGATGATGATGCTGAGGTGATGATGCTTCTGATGATGGTGGTGATGGTGAGGAGTAGAATGACGGTGAGGATAGCGATGCAGATGATGATGACGACGACCTGGACGGTGCTGTTGATGATGTGGATGAGGATGAGGATGATGACGAGGATGATAGTTCGGATGATGACGATGACAACGACAATGCTATGATAATGATAATGATGATGAGGAGCATGATGCTCATGATGGTGCTGATGATAATGGTGGTGGTGGAAATTCTCCTAACAACAATGACGATGGTTTGGATGATGATGAGGAGGAGGGTGATGATAAGGATGAGTAGGAGGATGAGGCTGAGGCTGACGATGATGATGGTGGTGATGGTAGTGGCGATGATGGTAGTGGTGGTGGTCGTAATGATGATGCTGATGATGATGATGATGGCGATCATGATGACGATGGCGATGATGATGATGATGGTGATGATGCTGCTGCTGATGATGATGATGACGATGATGAGGAGGAGGAGGAGAAGGGTGGCGATGAAGATAATGATGAGGATGATCATGATGCTGATGATGATGATGATGATGATGATGACGATCACGGTGACGACGATGATGACAATGGGATGACAATGGGATGAGAAGGAGGATTATGATGATGATGATGATGATGATGATGATGATGATGATGACGAAGGCTATGATGATGCTGATGATGATGATCGTGATTATGATGCTGCTGATGATGCTGATGATGGCGATTGTGATGATAATAATGATGATTGATGATGATAATAATGATGATGATGCTGATGATGAATGATGATGAGGATCGTGATGATGATTAATGGTGATGGTGATTATGATGAATCTGATGATGAGGATGCTGATGCTGATGCTGATGCTGCTGATGATGATCATGATGCTGCTGATGCTGATGCTGATGCTGATGATGATGAGGGTGATGATGACGACAATGGCGATGATGTTGATGATGATGATGTTGATGATGATAATGATGATGCTGATGATGATGCTGCTGCTGATGATGATCCCCCCTCAGCGGGCACCGTGCGCTGCACAGGTGCCGCCCCGCTGCTGCTGATGATGATGATGATGATGATGATGATGCTGATGATGATGACGATGACGATGAATGAGGAGGAGGCGAAGGATGAGGAGGCAGGGCGGAGGAGAGGAACGGGACGAGGAGGAGAGCAGGATGAGGAAGAGGGAAGAGGAGGAGGAGGAGAGGAGGAGGGAGGAGGAGGAGGA